TCGTTATTTAAGTTAAGTTACGTTTTTGCAACATGCCACTTAACTGTGGAATACGTTAACACATTCTTCTACTTTCACTTCATTTACCACGATGTATTGTATTGCACTCGATTTTGCAGTTGTGTGTAATTGATGTCTGACTTTTAGATTACAGGTTCTGCGTCTTACAAGCTCATATACCAGTTTCTTAACACATATACATCAACACAAAATAACTTTCCATTTCATTAACATTTAATTAATACGTATTTAAGTTAACAAATTTATTTTTCACGCCTAAGAATCCACTTTATATTCCTTTCATTATATTGCTTGCATATAAATATTGTCATTTTTCATTGATAATATGCGTTCCTCTCCATTACATTTCAAAGTAATAGTAATTAATGAGTGGTCGTCTTGAAACCTGATATATTGTATCAATTAAAACAATCGGCAATTAATTATTTTAAATGTCCTTTGTAAGTTATCATTGAAACAAATCTCGGTGGATATATATTTTTTGCCAAAACAAATTGGATGATAGCGTGTGCATTTGAAAATGCATTTTCCATCTAAATATGTAAATACGTTTAACATGTGAGAGTAGGGGAGATTACATTCTGGAATGGTTCCCTAGATACAGCTCAAATATTGTTTTGCCTGTATTAATGTCGTTCATTCCAAATGTGATTTTAGATGGAAATCAAACGACAAGTGCAATCCTGATGAATGATTTATTCTGAAACTTATATTAAATTCTTATCTGCAAATAACGTGCGATCAAGTACTTTTGCGTTTCTATTTCGTGCAGATTCTTTTGCATATACTTAATTCGTTCTTGCACGCTCTTCGGTTAATATTCATCGAGGATTCAGGTTTAAATCCAGCTCTTAGGAGCTATAGATTTTCAATTTTCTCGAAAACGTGCTATTTTGATGGCATTATTACACTGATATGTGTTTTAAATGCCTAAAGCTGAAAGCACGATATTGGAAATTAGTGTAATTTTCATAACGTCAAGGCAAAATAGTAGCGAATTGTGTTTACATTAGGACAACTCTGAAGTTAACTTGGTATATTCCATATTATTATCAGCCTGTGGCATGAGGAAATAATATGCACATGCGCGGACACTAGCTGAGATTGTAAGTCAAAAGTGATAGTTAGCAGCAAATCGTGATGTATATAAATATATGTTCTACATATTTTTGTAGATAAATGTATACATCTGCACAAGTGTCACTACAAGTTATTATATGTTATAAAATTTCCTTCTTTAATATGATCAAAATAGCTTTACAATAATCAACTTAAATGCCACATTAACATAGCAGCATTACTACAATTTATTATGACATTGTTAACTGCTATCATATAATCATAACAAAAGAGCGGGAAATATTGTCTGAGTAGACGATCGGCATGTACATAATCTTATTTAGTTCTTTAATTCTCTTTGATTTTATATCCTGATCGTATCGTTTCAAGTTTCTAATTTAATAGAAAAAACATACACATGAAAACCAAGCGTGCACGTATGACCATTATATCATTGTATCTCAGTCCCAGAGCAAGACAAAACCTCATCTTTTATAAAAGAAGATCGCTATCGACTGGTCTAGGGTACATTCATAATGTAAGGCAGAAGAATAAGTTCCCCGGAGTAATATTTTCTCATTGATCCTTGGCTTCATAAAGACATTCTTGATATGAAGTTGATAATGTTTAACATACTACTTCTCTGATGTTATGTTTTGGGATGTAATTAATATAAACAGGCAAGCACCGAGCAGACACGTGGATAATTGAGAACAATAACACGAACAAGTGTTTGTTCTATTCACATGTAAGCAACAGTCTACTTTCAACGTACAAATTAACACATGCTCATCAGTATTATATATTTGGATCATTATAACGCCATTAAATGAAATACTATTTGATAAGTTATAGCCGCATATTATTCTTACGTCATAAAAATGATATGGTTAAAGAAAGGATGCCACTGATTGTTATAAGAGCATATACACAGGCTCGGTCATGTCTATTTTAAAACAATACAAGGAAAATGAGACACTGCTATAACCACGTAAAGGCTATTCGCATTTTTGTTTTCTTTTTTGAATTTCTTTTTACAGTTTTACGTGTATCAGTAAATGCGAAAGCGGATTTGACCAATGTAAAATATAGCTTCAAAGCCGTGGTTTACGTCTAAATAATTGAACTATGTTAAGGCATGTTCGAGGATCATTCATCATTTCCGTATCCCGTAATTTTAATAGTACATGTATGTGCCTCTAACAATAAGGTAATTTCGGGAATAGAACCGTTGAAATGTTTTGCAAAGTGTACGTGTTAAGACGAACGCATTGAATTATAAAAAAGTTTTTTTTACAACAACAAAAATGTTACAAGAAACGCTAAGCAGTAATCCCCAATCATAAAAGCTAGGTGGTCTTTATCATGTTTGTTTAAATAAGGTCAATGTTGAGATTAAAAAAAAAACGTTTCAAAATAATTTCGGGGTAAAAATATATCATTATAGTAAAAAAACACAACTTCAATATTTGAACTATTCACAACTACATTCGCACGGAAATTGAAAGCATGATCATTTTCGAATAACCTAGTGAATAAAATATCCTTTCTAACGCTGTGAAAATGGAATAAAGAGAACACGCATCTAGCCATAAAATGTATTTAATCTCGTTAAAACGGACGATTTAGTGCAGAATTCAATTTCATCTGAATTAAAATGTACAAAGCATCACATTCAACTTTAGTTTTTTATGCTCAAAATATTTCTTAATAGTAAGATCAGGGATCAAACAGAACACGCGGTTTTAATGGGGACGTTTTCTCCTCTCTCTCTCATATTGATGAAATAAAAAAGGAATTCTAATACTGAATTGATGTAACGCTACTTCCAATATTATTCGTACGAGGAATGTATCTAAAAGCTATTAAGTTTATATAATGTAGTAAATTGGTAATAAAATATGCTTTTAAATGGAATTTATGTTGAATTAAAAGCGTAGTTTATTCGATACTTTCATTTAATTAAGTAACGTTAAATCTGACTCAATCTTAAATGAATTAACGGGGACTCAAATAGACAGTAAACTCGACTGTAGATTGAACATATAATTTGTGATATTTTGTATTAAATAAGAGAATTTATTCAGCGCCGCTCTTGAATCTTTTCTGTAACGTAAAATAAATATGCAATATATTAACAAATATGCGAGTTATTATCATATAAAAGAAATAAAGAAAACAGTGTTATTCATACTTCTGTAAATAATTTGATATGTACATTTTATTAATAATGTCTCGTTGTATTTAAATTCTAAATCAACACAATCATAAATCATAATGTTTTTTATAAAAATCAAAAATTCTTCTGATTAGAAGTATGAAGAATATGTAATCTAGATATATTCTATACTGCGTTATTATTTGATAAATGGTTATTTTAGCGCTATGATTATTTTAGCGCATTATTTATTAACTTGTTAGTGATGGCGTTTAACGAAAAAAGTAAACATTTTATCATGTTTTTCGTGAATCATTCAAAGCGTCATTTTTTAAATAGCTTCTCATTCGCTATACCTTATTATATCTTATGTTTGATTTATATTAAAAAATGCCTATTTTTGGTATGAAGGTGTGCAGCTTTTACTACTAAAATAATTATATTTAAAAATTATATATGTATATCCGATTAAAAGAAAAACTATTAACATCTCACCCCACTTAATGTATGAAAATATTTAAAGTTTATATTTGTGTCGCTATAGAAATGTTAAATTCGGGAATAAGTCCATTAACAATGTACGTTTTGATTGTCTTAATAGTAAAAACATGTGACGGTGATAGAATCGTCTTCTTTTGAAGAGTATTTATATCGTTGCAACAGTAATTGATGAAACAGGTACCCTACAAGATAAATTTGACATGCTAACAGTTACTGGCTGATTTCTAATACAAATAATCAAGCACGTTTTTTAATTACATTTTCTAGCCAAACGCGTTCCAGACGCATTATCAAATAGTTTAATGAGTGGTTTTCAAAGCAATATTAAATACTGATATAATTCTTATATGTTTAGACTTTGATTTGGCTGGTGCAGATTTTACGTAGGAATTTAAATGTGTTTAGCAGTTTAAAAATGTAATCCAGAACGTATGGAGGGAGCGTACATAAATATTTAGCCATTTAGACTTTTTTCCTCTGGCTGTTGCGTAAATTCCTCTCTGAAGGTATCTTGTGGCGTTAGTTTTCATTAAAATAATACTGTAAGTTTTAATCATGAATGATTTATCTGGGTATGTAAAGAAACAGTCAATTTAAGTCACTTTACCAGAAAATGTAATTAAGAAAAATTTGATTATTTGTCATGTTTCATTCCCATAGCAATTGTTTGACAACTTTAACGGAAATGTTTCTTATTTGTTTAATTATGCCCGTCTCGCAGAACAACCTAATCAATCTGTTATTAGCAATGTAATTCGAATTCCTTTTAATGAACTTTCCGATTCTAGATAGTGATATATCACCAGATAAATTTAATTAATTTCTGTAAATTAACTAGATAAAACCGCTTCACGTAATTTACTCAAGCATTTATTTAACAGAGTGTCAGATAAGTTTTATGAACGGAAATATCATGTACTAAATACTTATTTGAATTTTTAGAAAATTAGTTTTTCGTTAATTCAATATATCTACTTATTTTAACATTCAATCAGATTTGATTTTTACAAATTGTGATACATGTATGTGTTGAATGAAAGTAACATCCCAAAGCTAAAATGATGTTATACATATTGAAACAACGGCTGATTGTTTCTTGACCAGAATATGTTTTTTTTTTCTTCAAAAATTTAAATTAACCATTGTTTACATTTAATTACATAATCGGTTGATTACAATATAACAAAATACAATTTTACGCACAGTTCTTTGCTGTTCAACGGTTAATTTCAACAATTATAATATCTGATAAAACACTTACCTTTGCCAAAAAGCAGGAGAATGTTAAAAATTAACAAAGTCCAGTTTGGTAAATATTCCCAAAGAGACGTCGGTCGCATGTTTCATGGTATATTCCAATCAGAATTGACATCTGTAGTTTAATATATACATATATAAATCCAATTTTCTTATGTTTCTTTCTGCAGTTTGTATCACTAATTTTGAACAAACTGAGAACACACTTAAATATTAATTATAACTTAACCGGTCGTCCGAAGTTTCATCTTCGTATCTAATCTATATAAATTATTATTTTTTATCAACATTGTGCATTATATTTTGGTAAAATTTTAACTACTTGTTAAAACATGGTTATTCTACCACACACAGATCACTTCAAGAAATTTATAAATTCCGGATTATTTATCAGTAAAAAATCGAAATGTTGATTTTCCGCCTTTTAATACGCAACGACTACACTTAAGTCAATCACTTCCACTTTTTAAAAGCGCGATGTCACACTGCGTAACGTGAATCAAATAAATCGTTCACAGACTCTGCCACAATGAATGAATAGTCGGATAATCAATTTTATCCCAACCATTCACCACAAAATCTGTGCAATCATGCGTAAGTTATTCCACCGGCATAAAAAACCATAATTATCATTTTTCCGCCTCAATCATACAAGCACGGTTGAACTTGTAGCAGTTTCTGATTTGCTAACTCGTATAACAATACGACTTGTATTCTCTATGATGTTTTCTTCGATACTAGCATGTTTCACTTCGCTAAGCGTATGTCTTCATCCTAGTATGCTATTCTTTAGCCGATATAGCACCACGGATTCTGTAAAAGAAAAATAAAAACCCATAACAATACATTATAGGGTACGAGTAAATAACTATATTATTTGCTTGCAATGCAGGCTTTTCATACATTGATTATAAACTGACGACCACCCGTCGTCTCTTAAAAGCTTCCTATGCACAATTTTATTAGACATTGTCTATTTAGCCATCAAACTAAATATCTGGAGAAAATATCATTTAACTAGAATAAAGACCTGCGTATTGGTTAAAGGGAGAGAAGTGTTTATTCTTTGAAGTACACTTTTCTAAAGTGTTACTTCATTATATTAAGTCTTAGAATTCTTTCTTCCGGGATTGAAATAAGAATCATTTCTTTAAAAATCATTCCTGATTTTTATATATTACATTTTATTTTTACATAATTATTATATTGCAAAGAATATACGAAGAATTCAAATAGTTAACTATTTCTCTCTATTTTAAACTCTATTGAACATAATGCGTATAAAAAATAATGCATCTTCATTACATTATGACGGTGAATTTGTTTTCATAAAAGCCACCGCTGTGTACTTAATTTACGTGGGATTGCCTATCCCTTTAATCAAACTTAGTATATTAATTTCTAAATAGAAAATCTATATCATTATTAAACTTTTATCAGCCGATCTTCAAAATTCAATCTCGTGACATAAGGTTTAAACAAGAATCAAGTCGTATTATTTATACAACACATAGCTGTATTAATCTCCAGGCAGTTATAAAATGATATTGACTTCCGATATTGCCTGTTTTATTTTATTTTTCCCAGGGAACGGAATTGATTGAACAACGAATAAATGAGCAAAACTTATGCAAAAACAACAATATAATACACGGATGGGGAACAAAAAATCTAGAGATACTCATTAAGTCTCAATTTTACGCACAACATCTGGCAAAGGGTTACTGAAAATAAGTTACTGTATATCGTATAAACAAAACATTTTTTGGTTGATTACTAGAAAATATTGGTTAAAATGATATGGAATAAATAGTGATGAACATGAGTTACTTTAGCGTATACACAAAAGGTTTTTGGTCGATTATATTAATGTTATGCCAGTAAAAATAACGGTTACGATGATGAGGATTTGATAGTGATGAAAATGAAGATGGTGGATAGTGATGATATACTTTATAATGATTACTTAAAATCTGAAAGATACACTTTGTTCTTGTTATATTTGGTGATTGAATGTAGACTATAAAATATCTTATCCAAAGAAGAAAGTTTAACTTTCAAAAATATCACATATCTTAAACATACCTTTTGATTCAAAATAATAAGCCACTTCGCTATTTTGATTAATGATAGCGTGCGGTAGATATGTCAACATGGTCCTGTCTAATATCTGTGCATATCTAAATCATAAATTGAGGGAGATATAGTCAAACACCTGCTGGTTCATGTATAAACGTGTAATTCAATAGTATTTTCTGAATTTTGGTAGATGTATTGTAGGCGGAATCAAATAAAGCACGTGTGTTTATATGTTATACTTTGACACTATGTGAATATATCAAAGATTCTTTTCAATATACGTAGTGTATGATTCGTTCGTTCATTCGTTCGTTTGTTCATTCCTTCCTCCCTTCTTTTGTTCGTTCATTCATTCATTCATTCGTTCGTTCGCAAGCTCGCTCGACCGCACGCACGCCCACCAATTCACTCACTCACTCACTCACTCACTCACTCACTCACTCACTCACTCACTCACTCACTCATTCATTCATTCATTCATTCATTCATTCATCCATTCGTTCGTTCATTTATTTAATATTTATTTACTCATTTATTTATTTATTCATTCATTCATTTTCACCCATTCATTTCAAAGTTTTTTGTTGTTCTTTCAAGTTAATCATGACATTTCAGTTGAAACATAGATCTTTTGTGAAACTGAATATAAATATATACGCTTGGAACTCATTCGCACTGGTATCATATAACGAAACAATGCTGTGACTCGAGTAGGAAGACACATTTTCACTAGTTAATATCTTTTTGCGTGTGTGCATATGTTTATGTTCTATAACTTTGAAATATTTCAGACTTTAATGTTTACCCTTTGTTCAATCAACATCCGTTTTCATTTATAACAACCCCGTAAATACCAATCGATGCTCAATTTATACACTTTAAGTATTGCTTTTGATTACTTAATGGACAAACAGATTCATTCCCCAATCACCTCTGGCAGTATTTCGATTTTTGCCTGCACGGTCTATATGAAATTAGCCATATCATTTCATATTGCATGGGCCGCAATAACTGTCGACAGTTTATTGACTTTGTCTGGCTTCTGTTGAAATCATAATTTAGATTATAAAATGTTGATGTTTTTTCAAGCATGTTTAACAAGATGTATCTGAAAAACAAGACAACACTTCAATGATCATTGATTCATATATCGATTGATACAGTGTACGACATTTTTTTATAAAATGATTTTTCGTATGAAATATATGCTGTCCAATATATACACAAATGTAATGATATATACGATGTTTGAAATGTATTCACAAGAAATATCTTATGTTTGATACCGGTTTTAAATAATAATAGGTTCGTTTTACCCGATCATCTTCATAATGAAATTTTTTATATATAAAATGAATAAACACGGAGAAGGGATTGCTTAAAAAAAAGAAAATAACAGGTTTCCAATTTATGTATATTTCAATTTGTGATCGATTACGGTGCATTCATTTGAAAAAAGTGAAACTGCTTTCAACTTCTTCCTTTCACATTCTTGTATAGAGAGCATAGATTGAACTATTGCAATTTTAGAAATAAAAAAGAGACGATTATGTAACTGGTAATTGTATTTCGCATTTTCATTTTACACTATAATAGTAAACTATATTAGCAGTAATATTTGATTGATAAACGATCTGCTGTAACATGATATAAAGTTATGTAATACATTATTCAATATTTTTTAACAAAAACATCGCATGCAGGATAATGTTTCTTATTACCTTATATTTGAACGGCCTTAAAATTTTGAATCTCATATTATTACAAAAATCTATTTATTCTGACATTGTAATATGAATATCATATAAAATTGATGAATGGGTTATATATATCCCCAATAAAGTTCAAATTGGTACAGGGACACGACCTCTATGTATCATTTTTTACACGTGCATAAGTTAGCTATCAGGCTATGTAGAAATTATCGAAACTTGTATATCAACCTAAAATACCTTGCTTCCAAAATTGTTGAAAAATAAACTTTTCGCTTTAATTCTGATTTGTTGTATAATTAGATATGTATGCTATGTTGTATAAAAGTCAGAAACATCAATATTTCTAATAATGGGGAAAGATGTCCTGGTAAGAAAGGTGTATGCCTCTCATATGGACCGTAGGTTCGAGCCCCACCGGAGTTTCGACTGTATTTCTTCACTTGACACCAGTACCGGTTGGTTCTAGAAAGCGGTTTAGAATGCTATAAGATTTGTTCAGAGCTTTATTGAATATATTTTTAAATCACTTTCTCTTTAAAAAACAAACATTTTTTTACCGGAACACAACATAATTTTAAATACTGCCTTAATACCTAAATACCAAAGGGAGACATTGTAAATTATTGCTTTAGCTAGAATGAATCTAAAGTACACGGTTATCGCACAAATGGCGCATTATTCCCCAAGCGCATGTTTATTGTAAACGATTTGAGATCGAATGCGAGCAAAGGAGTTTAGCAAAGGGTGGTCATTAAACATCTTTTATGGCATTGCGGCAAAGACTCAAAGAAAATAAACTATATATGTTGTGCGTACTTGATACCACGACATTAACCTTATAATAAATACAAATCAGGCATGCAATTACAGGAACTATTATTGCCTGAAGATGTCATGAAGTTATGCTTTCAAAGATATCAGTAAAAGGGAAACATCAGTATTGCCTGTTAGTTAAAAATCAGCTTTTAAAACTTCAAAGCAATTGCTAAAATGGAAATCTAAGGATCAATAAATTTAATGACGTTTTGCTACCAAAATCAGCGACAGTTTGTTTTTGTCTCTGACAAACAGCACATAGACTTTTCAAAAACATCACAACACATACAATATTGGATTATTTAGCTGTACATGTTTGTTTCATATTATCATATGCCTTCTATTTGTCAGGACTTGTAAAAAATTGTTACAGACAATTTCTGGCAGCTGCATGCAAAGGAATAAATTTCGTTGCAATGCGATTTCCTAATAATTTAACTTCAAATTAGGCGTCTTGAAATTCTCCAGAGGAAAATAATATGATATAATTCTCATTTTATTTCATCTAAATTGATATAGAATTTCGGATATATTTAGTTAAGCCCATCAGAACCGAATTGTGAAAATACCAGAATATAAGTTTTAATAATTAGACAATACGTGGAAAATTGTACAAACATTTAAATTTCCTATAATTTGTAATGCTGACATTTTTCTCTGTGGCATTTTTGCATCATTGTACTATGCAAATATTAAATATGTATGCAGAATATTAAAATTCTTATGTTATCCAAATGAACAAGAAATATAAATAGTATCCGCGTAAGGAACGATTAGCTCCTATGAGTCAAGAAAACTGTAAGATCTTCATTTGTTTACACTGACGACTACAATTCACATGAATTTGCACACAGTAATAAAACAGAAATAAGCTAAATAAATACGCTATCATTTAGATTTAAAATACACGCGTTTTTTATTAAAGACTGAAAGACTACCATTATTAGTAGATTTAATTGATTTTGTAATTATTTTGTTAATCGAAATCCGATGTAAGATAAATAAATAAATAAATAAATAAATAATATGGACAAAGGTACTCCACTGAGGTTTATGGCATGACGGGACTGAATATATGTTTTGAGATTAATGTTCCATTTGATGTAGATATAGATCAAAAGCTTGCTTTAAACATTTATGATCATTTGCCCACACTATTTCTCCAAAATAGTTATTCTAATTGTGAACAATGACCCAAATTGA